TCTCTCTCTCTCTCTCTCTCTCTCTCTCTCTCTCTCTCTCTCTCTCTCTCTCTCTCTCTCTCTGAGTACAGACCTCTTAAAATAGACAGGGCAACTCAAGAAGCCTTTTTGCCTCTGGTGGAAAAACACATCAGGGTCTGCGGTCTGGGATTGCGACAGCACTCATCCTGTTGACCCGTTACACCCTGACAGTCTTGCTTTCTTCAGTCTGACCAGGATCACCATCACTCTGGAAACTTGCATAACTCATCTCTACTCTCTTCCTCACTACAATCCATCTTTTCTATTCATCATTTTTTTTTCATTTTTTTTTTCCGACAGCATTCCTTCTGACATGATTAAAGGTAAAGTACGACAGTTTGCACTACATTTAAAAAAAGTTAAATAGGACCCCAAACTGTTGGCCCTACAGTGACATTTCCAGGGGTTAGTGAGGGCATTGCCTGTTGGTAAAATATCTAAATTTGAAGCGATTTCTGTTATTATTAATTAAAAAAATGGAATTAACTTCAAGCTTATTCACGCAGGTATGTGTTACTCCGCAGCGGTGATGACCCGACCAGGCTACAATAGTCCAAATATAAGTACTTATTATAAGTGTACCGTAGTGATTCGGAATAAGACAAAAACGCGGTTTGGAAGATGAATTCATGATGTACTCGCTCATTATATACACTTTGCAAATTTTGAACACAGAAAAAGTTACATAGCTTTAATTCACCCCATACCTAAACTTAACAACTACTTTACTAACTATTAATAAGCAACAAATTAGGAGTTTATTGAGGAAAAAGTAATAGCCAATAGTTAGTTAATAGTCAGAATTGGTCCCCAAACTTAAGAGTGAAATTTACTAATATATTATTGAAATCAAAAGTTAATATCTAATGGACCTGAGCTGATATGAACTAACAGTAAATAGTTGTCAAAAGATGAATAAATAATGTAACAAATTAGTTACTTTTTTGCATTTATTAACCATAACTTAATGGGATCTTATTTTGAAGTGTTACTGGAATATTTTTCGTATAATATATTTGGGCACTTTACAGTAACGTCCCATTAGTTAACGTAAGTTAATGCATTAACTAACATTAACTAACAATGAGCAATACATTTGTTACATTATTTCTTAAACTTTGTTCATGTTAAAAAATATTTACATATTACTGATCTAAAATTATAACTGTTCATTGTTATTTCATTCAGCTCAGGTCCATTAAATAATATTAATAGAGACAACTTTTGATTTTAATAATGCATTAATAAATGTTAAAATTAAGATATCATAAATACATAAATAAATTCTACAGAAATATTTTTCACTGTTAGTGCTGAATAATGTGGTTAACTAATATTAACAAACAGAATCTTATTGTAAAGTGTTACCAATATTTAATGCCAATCACAAATTTGTTCCGTTCTAAAATATGGTAACAATTTAAATGCAAAATGTAGTTTGGTTGTTCTGAAAGTCATTTTGCATTGTGCAAATGACTAAGAAACAACAGTGGGGAAATAATATGTATCTGGGATGTTAATGCTAAACAAAACCACCATAATCATCATCAAAATTGTGTTTATAAAACAGATAGTTCCGGTCCTTGATTCTGATTGGTTGAGCCGCGTTCGAAGCTGTTGTAAATTACACTACAAACATACACCTTTGTTTACTTCTGTGTGTTGCCCGGCAACCACTTTGTTGGAACCACAACTGTTTCTGAGGAACTACATTGTTTGGTGGAAGAATACTGTTTTTATTTATGTCATTACACCTTACTAACTATTAATAAGCAACAGATTAGGAGTTTATTGAGGAAAAAGTAATAGCCAATAGTTAGTTAATAGTCAGAATTGGTCCCCAAACTTAAGTGTGAAATTTACGAATATATTATTGAAATCAAAAGTTGTGTCAGTTAATATCTAATGTCATTACACTTTATTTGCTCTGTTTTATTCTGTGAAACCTTACTACGTATATGGACTAACCGTTTTATAAAAGCAATAAGCCCCGTGAAGCCGTGGTTTACAATGAAGTTATAACAGCTAAGGGGGTTTTATAACAACGCCCATTAGCTGTTATAAATTCACTTGTAAACCATGGCTTATTGCTTTATTAACGAGCTTTACCAGTGATTACAGCTGTAATAATTGTTGACTTCTTGTGTCTTCAGCATGAAGAAACGGATGTCTTTAGGCCAAAAACTCTGTCTGGGGTCACGAGGAGACCTGGACCTGAAGAAACCGGCTGGAGCCTGCAATGGTCCAGACTCGCAGGAGGAGAAGATGATCATGAGGAGGGAGATTTCTCTCACTAACGGCATCTGCTTAATTGTGGGCAACATGACTGGCTCGGGCATTTTCGTGTCGCCCAAGGGTGTGCTGTTGTACTGCGCCTCCTACGGCCTTTCGCTGGTCATCTAGGCTCTCGGTGGCATATTTTCTGTGTTTGGTGCACTGTGTTACGCAGAACTTGGAACCACTATTACAAAGTCTGGCGCTAGTTACGTGTACATCCTGGAGGCTTTTGGGAGTATCCTTGCTTTCATTCAACTGTGGACGTCCATCCTGCTGGTCGAGCCGGCCAGCCAGGCTGTCATCTCGCTGACGGTTGCCAACTACCTGGTGGAAGCGCTCTACCCAACCTGTCAGTCTCCGTACGATGCTGTGAGACTGATAGCAGCGGCTTGTCTCTGTGAGTCCTCAGTGTGAAAGATTGTGATTGCAAAAAGTTAAGTTATTCCAAAGAACAATACTGTCTTTCTTTTTAATCTTTCATCAACCACCTCTGAAATGACTTCCCTTTTCGGCTGGTTCCTGTTAGCCATTGTTGTGTGAGATCCTGTCACCCCAAAGCCACTGTATTACCTCAGACAACTTGTTTTTATGTGTGCCCAATTCAGTGCCTGATTAGAAATGACATAAAATGACTTTATAATGTATTTTTTCTTAATTACGAAAAATTAATGTCATTTAAATTACATATAACGTTATATTACCAAAGCTAAACGTTTTCAAATTAAACATTTCACTTTGTGTTTTCAGTTAGCTAAGCTAATTAGCTTAGCATAGCGTTTACTCTTTAAGAACAAGTATTTTGATTAAGCGATACTTCACCCAAATATGATCATTTTTGTCATCATTTACTTACCCTCATGTTGTTGCAAAACAGTTTGACTTTCTTTCTTCTGTTAAACACAAAAGAAGATATTTTGAGAAATGTCTCGGTGTTTATTTGTTCATAAAATGCAAGTCAATGGGCTCTAATGTTGTTTGGTACCCAGTGTTCTTCAAAATATCTTCTTTTGTGTTTTACAGAAGAATGAAAGTCATTCAGGTTTGGAACTACTTGAGTGTAACTTTCATGTTTAGGTGAACCTTTAGCTAAAACAAGATATCACAATAACGTGTTTTTGTTCAGGCATTGAAGAAGGGATAGGATCGAGAACAGCACCTTAAATATATAATTTGATAAAAACATATAATTATTTATTACAAATTGCATTATATTATTATTGTAGATGTTATGTCAGTGATTTTATTTATTGTGCGTGTGTGTGTGTGTGTGTGTGTGTGTGAGAGAGAGAAGAGAGAGAGTGTGTGTGTGTGTGTGTGTGTGTGTGTGTGTGTGTGTGTGTGTGTGTGTG